TGGCAAACTAATCTGCTCCTACAACCTGCAAGCACCATCTGCTAACACTAGAGTGCAGTGTTGTGAAGCTAAGTGGATATATTTTGCTGTTTGTCAGCACTCAGGCCCTCAGTGAGTAAACCCACCAATCCAATCACAGCACTGCCAGCTCACCTGGAAGGGAATATCAGCCATGGTCTTGGCCAGGTAGTAGGCTTTCAGGCTGTACCAGTAGTTCAGATGCTCCCTCAGGAATACAGACATCTCGAGAGGAACTGCCAAAAGCCCAAAATGTTTACATACATTTATGAGATTTATCATAATAGTATCAACAGGGGAGGAAGTCCATAACCTCTGGATCATACTCACAGGTCAACACAGTAGGCATGAGTGCTCCAAACATGAGGAAGAGCATAGAGAAGAAGAGAAATCCAGTGTTGTTAAACACCCTGCTGGCATCATTGCCAATGTTGAGATAGAGCAAACCTATTAACACACCTATGCAGATGTGGGATATCACTCTGAGGTGGGTCAAAACCTGAGAACGGACGACAGCGGAGAAAACATCCACGATCAGGCTCGTTTCAGGTAAGAGCACATCTGATCTATGACAGCTGTGATTATTGAAGCGATGCTTCCACCCACCTGGTCTCGACATACAGTTATGAAGGTTCTCTTGAAGAGGATGCAGAACTGTGTTAGCGTACTTGTGGCAAAAGTGTGGCTTTCTATGTGCCTGGCATCCTGGAAAAATGGAAGAAATGATCATCGTCAACTCAACACAAAGCATCCTGCAGTCAGAGCTGAATCAACTGGGTAAAAATAGAGCAACAGACCATTTTTATGGGTTTCTGGTATTGCCAGAACATATTGGTTCTACTTCCTGCTGTCAGTTTGTCTTTATTGACACAGCTAGCATAGTGGCCTGGTGATTAGCACTGTCGTCTCACAACAAGAAGGTCCCGAGTCTGAATCCACTGTCTGGCCTTCCTGTGGGCAGTTTGCATGTTCTCCTTGTGTCTCTGTGGACTCTCTCCAGGTACAGTTGCTGGAATTAGGTTAAACTGGTGATTCTAGGTTGTCCACAGGCGTAAATGGTTGTCTGTCTCGCTGAGTGTACCCTGCTTCCTGCCCTATGGCAGACAGGCCATAGGACCATATCAGCTGAACACTGTGTTCTTCTGTTGGGACTTTTGAGGTCTCTGCAGGCTTTGGTAGTTCTTGGTTTTTATAGTTAGCTAAGATCTACCCATTTCCTGCCAGCCCTTATTTTTCTAGTATGACAGGTCTCAGTTTGGGTAATTGTTTCCTGCTTTGGTTCTGAGTTTAGGAAGCAACACAATCATCCAGAGAAACAGAAATGGACACAGCTAAGCTAAACTGTTAATGTGAGAGGACTGTAAATCAATCTAAGACTAAATGGCGAATGCCTTGATGCAGTGGGGCGGGGCCACATTCTTGTGGTTGGCAGGGCACAGCAATGGTTCAGAGGAGTTTGATTTCATTTTAAATGTAATTTTAAAACAGCAGTACAAACACTGAGAGATCTGCTGAGCATTGGTGCTGCATGTTTTCTGGTCATCCTGGAGAAGAAGTACTTGTGATTACTGCACTGAATCACCCTCGTTTCAGTCATGACCACGAAGCTCCAGGTTCTCGTCTAGGAACAGGTACTGCAGGAGCAAACTGCACCTAATGCATCCCACTCAGATAATGGTCAACATGGTTCTTTAAACTCTGTTGTAGTGATGTGTCAGTCACGAACGAAACGGCTCTTAGAGCCGGCTCCTTATCATGAGCCGTGGGGTTTTTTTTCTTTCTCTCTCTCTCTCGCCCTTTTCCCGCTTCACTCAGCACGCGAGCCTTGTGCTTTACGCTGAGCAGAGGGGGGAGGGGCGGTAGTTACACTCAGTAGCACAGGAACAGAGAGGGAGAGAGAGAGAGAGCCAGACAACAACGTCACATTAGAAAGGTATAGTAATCATCCACTACTATTTTCAGTTGCAGATGATAAAGGATTCAGAAAGTTTATTCATGCAGGTCCATATGACAGAGAATGTGCATCTTCTTTTTGTTTTCATATTATAATTTATATTTAATTGTGTTGTGGTTTGTAGTGTTTTGTGTTGTTTCACTTTAAATTTGTTTAAAAGGAAAAAGCTGAAAATTTAAATAGTTAAAAGTTGAAATGTGACTAGTTGGTTTTTGTATTATATGATTTATTTATTACATTTTATGTGGAGTGAATAAATAAAAGTATATTTACGGTGGCCCCTACAGACAAAGCACGTAAAAACTCCAAAACACGTAAAAGCACAACAGAAGTGCTCCAGGATGCTAGGGGGCAGTGTTGAGCTTTTGTTACCTCGTGGCTACACAAGCCAGCAAGTACCAACGACCGGATTTGGTGTGTGGTAGTAACAGGTAAATGAACATATTTTAAATTATTTGAATGTATATGAGTGCTTGTGTATAAATACACAAACACTACACATATGCTTTCAGTTGTGTAATTTAAGTGATCAGGGTAGCTGTTTTGAAGTTCAGTTAAAGCTAGAAATGTGTTTTGGAGTTTGTACGTGTTTTGTCTCTAGGGGCCACCGTATATATTTATATATAAACATATATAAATAAAACCACTTTTTTTTTTACATTAGTAATTCCTTTTGTGCATAATTTTATATTATTGTTAATAATAAATAAATTAAAGCAACAAAACAACCCGAAGAGCCGGCTCGGAGCCGAAAGAGTCGGTTCTCTAAAAAGAGCCGGAAATCCCATCACTACTCTGTTGCAAATAATCCTCTCCTTCCTGAACAAGCGGCACTTTTATTCTCTGGTTGTATGGAGCAACCTTTAGTGGAGCATGTGGTTCTGCTGTGGAGGACTGGGTGGAAGAGATCAGGGACTTGTACATCAGGCTAATTTTATTTATGATCTGGGCAGCGGGAATCTGTCTTCTAGATTGTTATAGCACCTCCATGCCACTCCCCACTGGTGGTTGCTGCCTTTCAGCCTTCAGGAGCCCCCCCCAAGAGTCTGAAGGCACTCTTGGCTGTCCGCTCCAGCAAAATACCCTCACTGATAATACTGTGAGTAATAAAATAAATCAATAAAACAAAACGATTGACAAGAAGAGCGTACAGAGACTCTATAGCGGTCGTCTTGGCAGGGCAATATGTCCTAGCAAGTTTCTTCCTTGCTCGATGCTGCTGTCACTTCTCTGCAGCACACTCTCCCACGTGTGGAATAGCATCTGTTACTTACAACGGGGCAGATTGTTGCACAGACTGATTGATTCTTCTCCTCTAAAGCACACATTCCACCTTGGACTGCTTCAAACAGCACCGGGTTCATGTCTCCATACTCTCCTGATGCCACTTCAATGACTGAATCACAAGCAAAAGCAGAAAGACGTGAACAGAATTAGCTCTCTGGAAATGCTGCTATCATGCAGAAAAGTTGGGGAACATGAAGTAGCAATAACAGGTACTGTAAGGTGAACATACTGAAGTCTGCAGGGTTGTGGTAGGTAGGACAGTAGAGGCCGAGCGTCTTCAGATAGGGTATGAGGTAAGGGACGGTGCCTTTGTAGATGCACTGTCCCTGACTGAGGATGTAAAGCTGTGGAGCAAAAACATTCAGGTTTGACAAAAAGCAGCCTCTACAGAAGCTTACAGAACTGCAACTTATTTTTCTTTACATGGCAGTGGTGTAGATTAAAAGATGGAGATAGCTATGGATGATATCACCCACTGGTTCTCAGACACTTGGCTCCAAATACCAACATGGTGGCAGCCAAAACAATACGCTGAGGTTTCAAAATACAGCATCCATTATTTCCTCCTTCATTGGCAGATACACACCTTGTCAAACATCTCAAACAGTTTGGCACTGGGCTGGTGAATAGTGCAGATGATGGTACGCCCGCCCTGTGCCAGAGAACGCATTAGGGACACCACCTGGTAGCATGACACGCTGTCTAAGCCACTTAAAACACAGAGACAAGATCCATGAATACCGGTCTAAAAGAAACGGAAGAGTAGATAAATCACAATGACTTGCAGATTCACTCTGTCACATAAGAGTTTAGCTAAACATGAGAAAGCTTGAGGATGATATCTTTCTATTAAAAAATCAGTCGTTATTGTATCAGCTTGGTAATTTTGGAAACATGTTTTCTCAGTTGTCTGCAGATTTAAAAGGAAACGGACACACTAATGATACACTACCATACAGTATGTACACTGTTTAAGCTCCGTCCTACAACCAAAAAACGTGGCTTTATGTAAAAACTGTGAAAAAAATAACATAATTAATACATAAAGTAAAATAACTGTATGATTTTAATTGTTAATTTGTTAAATTTAGATGACATAAATGTTACTATAATGGTTAGCTATAGCGGCTAGCTGCTATCATGTTGGTTCATGTTGCTATCAGCTAACTGCTAATGCTAATGCTAAAGCTAATGCTCTTGTTGCTGTTTACAACATCAGTGTTTTTCTTACATTTCTGTAATTGTTAAAATTCTAAGTTATAGAAGCTGCTGAAATGCACGGAATGGTTCTCTGGATAAAAGTTTATATGAGAAAAATCTAAGAATCCGAAACACAAACATGTGTAATGTTAGTTGAGAGGCTGGAAAACTGTGCAAAAAATAACATAATTAATACATAAA